GAATCAACTGCTCTAGCTGGCCCGGGCAGTGTCCCGTCCACGAATCGAGTAGAAGCATGCTTTTACGGCCAGTATTCGGTAGATAGACTTCGCTGAACCAAGTCTTGAAATGTTCAGACGTTAGTTTTCCTGATATTGAAGCTTCGATGTAAATGTTAACTGGACGAAATAGGGTTTCTAGCACCCGTGGTCCAAATGTTCCCGTAGATTCTTTCAAAACTATATACAATGGTGAAAGAAGACGTCCGTCTGCTGAAATAATCGGCATTATACTGTAACCATGTGTTGTAGATATCGATTGAACCAGTGCTTCAACTTTTTTCAGTCCTATATTTGCCAATGTTCGTCCAGAATGTAGTTTAAGATTGAAGTCACTCTCGTCTGCATTATAAATTTCTTCAACTCCAATAGCTGGGATGTTAGACTTTACATTTGAAACAAATGATTTTGCGACATCTTGTAGGTTGTCAATATCTTGTAGTGTTAATTGTGTCCTGAATGTTGTTATCTTGCGGGAAACAATTCTGTGTACTCTCTTAAATTTCCAAATCCACCAATTACTTGCTTTGAATTCGGGTAGGTCCACTTGATCTTTTGCCTCCAAAGCCCAAAATCTTAAATTTATGTCATGAATTATAGATCTTCTTTCAACAGCTTCTTTAAACTTTTGCAAAACATATTGCGTAATAAATGCGGTAAGTATTGATAACAACGGACCCAGCCCCAATGACCTTGACCTTCACATATGTTGTCAAAGTCATGATCTTGAGTGACTATCAAGAAGTTTTAGCCATCGCTCGTTATTCGTTAAAAAGTTATTAACAAAAAAAGTAACAAAAAAAATAATCTCAATGGGGGGTTGGCGGGGGCAAAGCTCCCCCCAGTAGGTAGTATGGGCGCAGGCGGGGAGGGGGGATGCAGGGGGGATTCGAATTCCTGCAGGAAATTAAACCACCGTGCAATTCGGCTATTGTTTTCCACACACGTGCCGAGAAATTTCAAAGATTTATGGTCGGTGTGTTCTCTTACATGACGCCCCAATCTTAGGGTGTGCCACTTCTTTACCGCCCATACTAGCGCCAGGCATTTCAATTCTGTTGTTGTATAATTGACTTCGGCGCTTTTGAGACTTCGACTTGTGTATGCCACCGTGAATTTCTTATCGTCACCTTCCTTATATTGGTATAGTCTTGCGCCTAGCCCCGATTTGGCCGACGTCCACGTAGATTCCGAATTTGTAGCCTGGCTGAATTAGATACAATTCCGGAGCTTCCTGGAATG